GCCGAGAAACATAGTCCCTGCAGGGTTTCCTGGGTCTCTCCCTGGGCCTCCTCCCGGTGGGACATGGCTGGAACACCTCACCAGGGAGACGTCCAGGAGGCATCCTAACCAGATGCCCGAGCCACCTCAACTGGCTCCTCTCGATGTGGAGGAGCAGCAGCTCTACTCTGAGTCCTCCCTGAATGACTGGGCTCCTCACCCTATCTCTAAGGGAGAACCCAGACACACTACGGAGAAAACTCATTTCAGCCGCTTGTATTTGGGACCGTCATGACCCAAAGCTAATGACCATAGATGAGGGTAGGAATGTAGATCGACAGGTAAATCGAGAGCTTTGCTTTTTGGCTCAGCTCTCTCTTCACCACAACAGACAGGTACAGCACACGTTTCACAGCAGACGCCGCACCAATCCACCTGTCGATCTCCCGCTCCATCTTACCCTCATTCATGAACAAGACCCCAAGATACTTAAACTCCTCCACTAGGGGCAGTAGATCCTCCCCAACCTGGAGAAGGCACTCTACCCTTTTCCGGCTCAAGACCATGGTCTCAGATTTGGAGGCACTGATCCTCATCCCGGCCGCTTCACACTCGGCTGCGAACCGCTCCAGTGAGAGCTGTAGACTGGTTGGGCAAACTGACATGCACCCTCCAGGATCCTGCTGAGAGTGTAGAGCTGATCCAGTGTTCCACCAGGAAAGAAACCACAAGGCTCCTCCTAAATCTGAGATTCGACTATCCGACGGAAATCTTTCCAGAACCCCCGGAAAAGACCTTACCAGGGAGGCTTAAGAGTGTGATTCCTCTGTAGCTGGAATAGACCCTCCAGGTAAATAGGGGGACCACCACCCCAGTCTGCCAATCCAGGGGAACTGTCCCTGATGTCCACATAATGTCGCGTTAACCAACACCGCCCCACAAGACCCAGAGCCTTAAAGGAATAGTACACCCAAAACATGATTAGCCTTCATTTTCTACTCACCCCCATTAAACAACACTCTGGAGTACTTTTTTGATATCTCAAATGCATCTGGAGATCTGGGAGGCTTCTTGCTGTCAGCTGACATTCAAATGATGGAGGTCTATGGCGCCCGAGACAGAAAGGTCCATAAAAGTCCACAAAAAACGTTTTAATATTCCTCCATNGGATGTGCTCTCTTCATCCTCTGACATGGGAGCTGGCTCGGAGCTCGTCTGCCTGGCTGTGTGTTTCCTGGACAGGGCCGCCTGTGGAGCTGGTTGACAGTTGCCTTTTGTATCTATGCTTCTTTTTCTATCTGTGCTTCTGTCTCCTTGAACCCCAATCGGCCTCGGCAGATGGCCGCTCACACTGAGCCTGGTTCAGCTGGAGGTTTCTTCTTGTTCAAAGGGAGTTTTTCCTCTCCACTGTCGCTACAAGCATGCTTAGTGTGAGCGATTGTCTTCGACTCAACGAATCGATGCAATCAACTGGTTTTCCTTAGATAGACAACTTTGAATCAATTTGACTGGATGATCTGGTGAACTGTAAAGTGCCTTAAAATTACATGTATTGTCAATTGGTGCTATAGAAATAAACCAAAAGTTGGAAACAATTATGCCATCATGCAGATTTTGTCCAAAACCAATTTAAACTGCTAACAGTACGTTAGAAAGGCAAAGGGAGGGACTTATTACACTAATTATTATCCTTTATCCAACTACATGTATATCTTTTTTAAATCCCCAAACCACCATAAGTGAAAAGGAAAAATGAGGCAATTAAATGGTTCTTAAAGTTCATCAGGGTTATTTATTCCCTGGGCTAGAAGAAACGCCACCAGTGCCTTTTTCCTCTTTTTGGTTTTTTTCTAAAGGGGGTAGAAACAGAGAAAAATGAATAATTTCTGCAAGTGGAACCTCCCGTGTACAATTCTACAGTCAGAGAGAAATTTCCCATGTGTTTTGAAAAAAAGGGGATTAGTGTTCTGGAAGCTCTCATTCCAATTCCCTGTTCCATCCTATCCCGTCTAATCTCCTCTCTTCTCATGCCTGTGTGTTTAGCGGGTTAGCCGTGGATCAAGTGACTGAATGTGATCCAATTAGCATCTAGCAGCATCTGACGCTCTGCCTGTGTCTTTGATTTACATGTGCATGTTGAGCCTTCCCATAATATAAGATGTTTAAGACATTCTTTCTACCTCATAAAAGGAGGGATGGTGTCTAACTTGCTTTCAGAAGGGTTAGAATCCCAAATAAAGGAAGTTTTAAAGAACTGACGAGTTAGGAGCACAGAACAAGTCAAGAGGGACATTTGTAACTAGATAAAAGGATTTTACATCATCTGTAAAATCCTTTTTAATGCTGCCTTGAGTAAAAGTAAATGCTCAGGTTGCATTTGATCAACTAGTCAGCTATAAATAGATCAAATGCATGCACAGACAAGACACTTCATCATGTCTCATACTCTTTCAGATTTTATCGGCATTTCCGTACTTGATTGATCAAAATAAAGGACATTTTTACCCCAGCTGTTCTGCTTAATCATCATTTTTTGGAATCTCTTTTCTGCACCAACAGCTGCAAGTTAGGGGAGTACTATACTATTTTGCAAAAGTCTAAGAATCCTACAAGTCTGGGAAAAAAAACCCTAAAGATGTAACTGGATGTAGATATCTGGACTCTATCCGAGGAATTCTGTTTTATCAGTCGGGTCTTTATCCTCCTGAAAGGTGAACATCTATTTTTATCCCAGTCTCAAGGAATCTCTTAAATGTTCTTAATTTATAGCCATTTAGCTTCTTTCTGTAAACTTTGACCTGCCTCTCTGCTGCTGCTGCTGAAGAAATGCATCCCACGCTCTGATGCTGCCACTGCTGTATTTGAGTGTGAGCAGGGTGTATCACCAGCATGGACAGGGCTAGTTTTTCTTTTTCAAATTTTTGTATGGCTTTCTTTTATCCATCCATCTTCCGTCACACTTATCCCAAGTGGGGTCACAAGGGGTGCTGTTTCCTATCTGCAGTTGTCTACGGGTGAGAGGCGGGGTCCACCCTGGAGAGGTCGCTAGTCCATCGCAGGGCAACACAGAGAGAAACAGGACAAACAACTATTCATGACCACTCTCACGCCTAAGGAGAATTTAGAGAAGCCATTTAACTTAAAGGAATAGTACACCCAAAACATGATTAGCCTTCATTTTCTACTCACCCCCATGCTGAACAACACTCTGGAGTACTTTTTTGATATCT